TCACTTTCTTTTTTGCTGTCACTGTTTAGTTGTAAGTACATTTTGCTCAAAGAATTTGAGGTTCCTGAGYCATCTTAGTGATTAAGACCCTTGTATTTTAAATGCTTTTATTTTCTCCACTTGGAAGCAAGCTAAAACCATGAGCTTGCACTTGTGCATGTTTGATTCCAATCTCTTCAATAACAAGTATATGTTCCAGCTGAATGTTCGGCATAGAAAGTACATGTAAAAATATTCTGGAGTCTGAASAAAATTTGAGAGGATCTGGCATTTTCTAAAATTTTCAGAACAAATGATGAAAAGCATAGATCTACTGCAGACTGTGTGCTAATTGTCTTTAAATTCATCAGATATGAGGTATCCAGTTAACAGCTTGTGTCTTTTCTTCAGGTTTTTTAACCAAGCCATAGCTGTGTCAAAACCGCTGCTTTTCCAGTCAATAAAGTTTTAGAGGTAGAGCTGTATAAGCCATTTTGATTCTCTACTTTCTTTTGTTTTATATTTACTATCAAGGCAACTTGATTGAATGTTTGTCGCTGTTGTTAGACCCAACCATACTAATGCAATTGAAACTTCAGAAGTTTCTCTAATATTGTAAAGACTTAATGATGCTAACTGCAGAGAAAATATAAAACATTATCAAATTATTCCGGTCTCTTTATGACTTTGCCATTTTTACAAACTGGAAAATGTTGAGCAATTCATAGGAGGTAATGTCAAATTTTAAGGCTTTTTTTAGGTTAGTGTTGATTCTCTGATGGTTGCCAGGATAAAACACATCAATAGTAACRTGATGGGAATGGATGTTTAACATACAAATAATTGAGAATTGCTGGATACTGACAGGAAGTGTAGAGGTCAGAGAATGTAAATCCAATTTCCAATTCACAGTAAAGCTGTGTGAGCTAGTAGATTGAAAAACCATGCATTGTTAATGTTCTATCTGGGTCTTGTAAGTTAGTCATTTATCTCACTAATTATTTGCCTTGTGTTGTTTTTAAACATCTTTACAAGGGTTACTTGGTATTAATAAACAATTAGAATGTGGGCATCTGTTGCAGAAGAAATGTTTTCTCTTTATCAGTTTACTTTGGTTTCCTTTAGGGACAATAGAATTTGATCAAATATGGCATGTGTCCTACACCTTGGGATTGTCAGCYCGAGAGTCTAGGACTTGAAACATTCATCCAATACAGTTGGTTAGTTTATGGGCTTTATAGCTATCTTGTGTTTCACATTGTTAGGTAGATTGATCTGTTCATGCTTCAGTCRTTTGTTTTACTATGTACAACATGTCACACTGCCACTTTACCTGTTTCCCATCTGAAAGCAAACTGATGGTATTGATTAGGTATTAGTTCTTGATCCCTGACCTGTGTCTTCTGTGCAGTTCAAGGCAATGAGGAGGTTGTTCACATTCTGGGATTTGTTTTGTATTTTTGTTTTAAGTGTTTGGGTTAGGTTTTGTTTGGGTTTGTTTGTTTGTTTGTTGTGTTTTTCAGGAGCTTAGTTGATCAATGAGCTGGCAGTAGTAGCTTTGGAAGCTAGTTAGTTTGTATCTGACCAAAACAAGTTGAAGAGTGTTAGCTAGTGAAATCTGTAGTGCAGATGGTCAGTCATCTACTCTTCTCACTGTTTTTGAGAAAGCATGTGATGGCTTTAATAATTTTGGGTACAAGTTTGTACYCTGTCTCTGTTAAGTGTACATTATTACCAAAGTATGACTTATGATTTACTTGATGTTTGTAAATACATAAACGAACTGTATGAAGATTTCTGTGTTACTATGGATAGTATTCTTCACTATTAATAGTATCGTAATTTACATGCATCTTAATTCTGGTTGTCTTTTGTCTTCCTACAAATGCAACTTGTTTGGATTCTTTAGCAGGTAGAAGAATGGGAGGAAATTATCCTGTATTTATGTACTATTTCTAAARTGCATTTGCACTTAGGGCTAGAGAATATAGTCTGTTGTCTTACTCTTCATGCCTGCCTCTTTTTAAAATYAGTCTTTTACATCTGCTCTGAAGGATTGTTGTTCTACAGGGAAAACACAAAGCAGATTTTTTSCCTAGTCTTTAAAAAAATTTAATAAAAACCAAGTTGTCATTGCAGTGGAAAAAATGGCATTATGTATTAGTGTAAAYAGCTCATGCGAAAATCTGAAATTCACACACATATGCATACACCTGCTTGCCTCTATAGAGGATGCTTACTTTCCAGGCTTAGCATTGGACTTTTTTTTTCCAGTACCACTCACTAKTTCCTCTCCTCACCCTTCCTGAAATTTCCGGGTTATTGTGTGCTTTTAATTTAGTGAAGAAACTTAACTTTGGTTTAGATTGTATTTTTAATGAATAGAAGGCAATTTTTGAACGATTACTCATCTTATATTCATAAGGATCTAATGTGCTTAAAAGTTTATTAACAGGGAATGTATTTTAAAATCAGAGAGGGCAATATAATTAATGCTGAGCGTTAAAAATAATTAGTTTGTTATTTTGAAAAATTCTATTTCCTGGCGTGGGCAAGTTAGAAGTACTTACTTAAGAAGTAAATTTATTTCTGAAACAAGTTGACAAGTGGGAGCCACTTTAGGATGCAAATTTAAAGTCAAATAATTAATTGCTACATGGTACTTGTTCATGTTCTTTCAAAGAAAGTTTTTTATAAATTGTGGCAAGTACGATTGAGGCCTTTTTCCTGCCCCCGTTAAACTAAAAGCAAAAAATGTAGCGTTTAAACAGAAACCTTCTTCTGCTTCTGGTTTTGGCCCCTTCATATCTCCTATGTCATGAAAGACATGGGAAAATTGAAGGGGGTTTAGTGAGGAGCCACCAAGGTGATTAGAGGGTTGGGGCACTTGACCTATATAGAAATGCTAATGGAGATGGGAACCTGAGGAGGGAAATCTAATCACAGCCTACCTGAAATGTAGCTGCAGAGAGGATGTACAYAGTTGTCTTCATGAGCGTGCACAGGAACAGGGCAAAAGGCAGCAGGCTTAGGTTGCTTCAGGGGTAATTCTGTCTCTGTAGAGCAAATCTTCTCCATGAGAGCAGTAGAACACTGGACTAGGTTCCCCAGAGAAGAGGTGAAATATTCTTCTTGACAAGGCCCTTGGTAACCCAACATAAGGYTCTGTTTTTCAACAGAAGGTTGGACCAGGTGGTCTTCAAAGRTCCTTTTCAACCTACATTTTCCCCATGGTTCTGTGAATCTGCCTTTCTCTCCTCACTGAAGCAACTATGGGGAGATGGACTAGGCAGGCTGTGGTACTACTGCAAGTAACGTGTGGAGAACAATAGCCCTGAGTCCCATTCCTCAGAGTGAAGCCACTTAMTGCAATTAGGGAATCAGGGAGGGAGTGTACTTTAGGAGAGTGATGCTGAGCTTTTCAGAGGAGGAATGTCACAGTCGGCTGGAGTGGAGGGGAAAATAGTGCGTAAATTTGAACATGGATGTTGAGAACTGTGGCTGAGCAGTTGAAGAAACCTAGGACAAAAAAAGGGGTGAACAATGAGGGAAGAAGCAGTAGCATATGGATTTCATATGCATTTGGTGTAGTAARTAGTTTAAGTATCGAGTGTATTTGCCACATGTGATAAAATTTGGCAGGATTGATGATACAGAAGTCTTTATATGCCTCTATGTGGTAAAGGTATCATAGTGTGAATAATCTTGGGGGATTTTCTCTGTTAGTAAGAGTAGTCCTGGCTTATTGAATGGAGGAAAACTCTCTGAATGTAATGGAGGAGGAAGGGTACACTAGGTCATTCTGGAACATTGTCATTTGAATCACAAGAACAGGCTGGATCCTCACCACTGTTGTCTTAAATATTTGAGAAAAGAAGAGGAGGGGGGGAAAAGAAGTGGATTGTTTAGAGCAGGTATTAATGTACTTATTTAATTGTAAAATGAGTCATATAAACACAGAAATGAAAGAAAATACTTTTCTCAGAGTTCAGCATTTTTTTTGCTAKTTTTCATTATTTCAGGGTAGTTGGATTGTGTATTTAGATGGATATAGCATTTGCCTTGATAATTCATGAAAACATACTTRACATTGTGGTTGTTTTTTCTTTTACTGTTTCTTTCTCCAGAGGGAAGTTAGTCCTGTCCTTCTATTGTTCTGGATCATTCCATTAGTTTACTGCTGCGACTGTCAGCCGAATTTCTGTCTTAAGGTGTTCTCGTCACTTTAAAAATGCAGTTGAGTAGCCAAGCATGTAATGAGGTCCATAGCTTTCAATGTATTATAGAAATGCTGTTGATCAATATAACCACACACTCTATTGTCTTCTACAAAGTAAATTTAGACCAATGGGGAAAAGTGATGTAGCCCCTGAAGAGCTGCTGCAGTGCCACACAGCTGTGCTTATTTTTAGAGGAAGGTTAAATTTAATCGAGGGATTTGAAGGTTTTGTACTTTGAGGGTGTGTTTTTTGGGGGATTTTATTTCCCTTGGTATATTTCTTACTGTTGTTACAGGTACCTCTCTACCCCCATTTTTCTTCCATAGTAASTCCAATTCCAATAGCTTAATATGTGTGGGATAAATTTGAAAGACTCTGCTTCTACAAGTTCTTAAAAAGTGTTTCTTTTGTATCCCAGCATCCAAGAGCAGGAGGCAGAAKAGCTTGATAAATTTTGGCAAACAGCATGCTGTTTTATAAAATGTTACTAGATTAAGCTGTCAGATACGAGAGACTGTATATGCTATTTTGTAATTAAATGAAATCTTTTATGTGTATATATATTTATATAAAATAAGCATTGGTTAAATACTTTGCCTTTTAGAGAATGCTGGAAATGCTATGTCCTGGACAATCATTAGTTCACTGCACTGAAGCTGTATGAATTCAAAGTGTGGAGCAGAGTTGGTTCATAATTTTTTTTTTCCTATGAGCTTTTTCTAGAGCAATAATGTAAAGTAATTAATTAGTTTATTATTGCTACTCTGTTGAAATGTCTGTAAATATCTGTCTGATTTATAGGTAGTAGCTCAATTCCAAATTTCTTTCACCTAATGAAGCGACAGTTTACTGAGACAGAGTGGGATGTAATCAAGTCAATGAGTAATGAATGGATGCAGCTGGATATGTTTTATCGGCACTGGGTAATGTTTCTCTTCCTATTTACAGTCTGCAAATGTGCACATTCTTTTTTTTATATGATTTGATATTTTCATTGTACTAAAAATGTAATTTTTTTATAGTTGCAWAGAATAATAGAATGGTTTAGGTTGGAAAAGACATCTAAGATCATCAAACCCCCTATGTCCCTAAGCACCACCTCTACCAATATTTTAAAGAATTTCAGGGTTGGTGGCTCAACCACTTCCATGGGCAGCCTGTTCCAGTGCTTGAAAAGGCATTTGATGAAGAAATTTTTCCCATTATCCAATCTAAACTCCCCTGGTGCTACCTGATACTCTTTCACATGAAGACATTCTTGGACTTTATATTTCAGTGATTATTTTAGTAACAAAATAACTGTGAGAACCATAGTGCAGCTAACATTTCCAGATTCATTAGTAGTTTTAAAAACATAGCAGAACAAGGTAAAGGGTTCATAGCTGTGTGTGCCACTGAGTAATTTCAGTTTCATGTTTATTTTAATGCAGCAAGTTAGGCTGGGTATAAACAATGCTGATAACTTTTTCTCTTGGTAATTGCATCAGTCTACCTTCACATTTATGTATGCATAAGYATACATGTACAAGTCTTAAATTTGTCTACAATGTGTATTCAGAGGTAATGTTTATAGAACACTTTGAAAACAGCCGTATGAATAAAATACATTCATTGTGTCTTTTAGGCCTTAAAGGAAAGCTTCTTAAAGGCTATTGGAGTTGGAATTGGCTTTAAYTTGCAAAGAATTGAATTTAATGTGTCTCCATTGCAACTGGAAATAGGGAAGGTGTATAAGGAGACAAAAATGCTTCTGGATGGAGAAAAAGAAGAGGAGTGGACATTTGAGGTAAAGAATATATTTTCACTAGTGATAAACAGTCTCAAATCCTTATGGTTGCATTGTGTATATGATTTTTTTTWAATTGCAACTTCACATCTTTATTCTGTATAACCCAATTGAGCATATAGTAATCAAAAGGGGTTAAGATATAAATCTGCAGCATTTTGAAGTACTTTTGACAATTGCAAGAACAYCCCATATATACATTCTATATAATGTCTTTTTATTTTTCCTCTTCSTGGAATATATTTCCTGCACTCTATGAAAGTCATTCTAAGGTGTGCATGAAGTTCACAGAAGTATATTCAGACCTGTTTTCTTGAACAGTGTCTAAGATATAAAGTTCTTCATCAGTTGGTCTAGAATGGAATCTAGTGATTAACTAACTCCATTAGTGTTTATGTTAGATTTTGAAATGGAGGATATGTCTTCAGCCCCTTTGGTACTTCTTGTCCACACAAGAAACTTGTGCTTTTGTGAGCTCGAAGTGGCTGCTGTGGGAGCGGATAGATGAAAAAATTTGCTCTTGCTTAATCAAAGTTTAGTTTATCCTGAATAGTCTATGTGAGTCTTGAGTTTTGGGCTTTTGTTTTCCTTCTTCAAAGTTATTTGGGTTATCAACGAAACATCTATCCTTTCTGATTTGGTAAGAAATTATCAGTATTATCTTGTGTAGTTCAAAGGATATGCAGGGGAAGAACTGATAGGGACATGGTTTACTGGTGGACCTGGCAGTGCTAGCCTAACAGTTGGACATGCTGGTGTTAAAGGTGTTTTCCAGCCTAAATGATTCGGATTCACAATGATCTCAAATTGTTTAATTACCTAAAAAACAAGTTTAAAAAACAAATCACAATCTCATTTCTCTACACCCCAGAGATATGTTTGTTCAACAACTTTAAACAAAGCAAAAAAATAGAACAAACTGTCAAGTGCTCTTTTCAGTGAGATTATTCAGTTTCAAATAGATATTTGCATTTTGAAAACACCTACATTGTTGGAGACAGGTGTTCCAATAGAGCTGTCTAAATGACAAATTTCTGCTGTATGCTTATTTTCTTTAGTAAACAAACTACACATACCCTGTACATGTGTTGAGAATGAATGTTCCATGTTTAACTTTAGAGTACAAGTTTATATCTTCACAGTTCATTGCATTCAGCATTCCTATCTGCTTTTGGTTTTATGTTGCAATTTTATAAGTCTATGCATACTAAATCAGCCCTCTTACACAATTCCTATATGGWATGGCAATATCAGTATGTCATGAAATTCACTAGTTGGAATTACACTGGCAAAAGAAGTTACTGTGACACATTTTGAACCAGAATGCTTTCTGCATTACTGCAGTGTCCCATGGCACTAGGGAACATGTAGCTCTCTTAATTGAATTCTGGAACTCCTGATTTTGGTCTTTGACGTGCATGTGCTTGATTGACAGAAATAGCCTGAAGATGATGATGTAATGATATAATACTTAAATGCTTTCTGATTGTTTGAATTTCCCTTAGTAATTACTGCTAGAAGGTTCTAGAAGGTTTGTGCAATTTTTTTCCTGAGGAATGTTTCCACTTCCACACTTGCCCTCCTGCTTCCCAAGAGTGTAGCATTATAATGAGGCAGATTCCAGTATTTCAAAGAAAGAGCTTCATATCAAGTTTGTTTTAAATACAAGCTCGGTTAAATGTCAACATTCATTAAAATGAAATAAATAAAATGTTTTTCAGTTACCAGTCTCCAGGGAACCTAAAATTAAGTATCACTTTACTTTTTTGTCTCTTCCTAAGTTTCTTTTAATTTTGTGTCCAWTTCTTGCTTAGAAAAGTCTTTTTTTGTCTCATCATATTTTTGAAATAGCTTTTTAGTTGAAAACACTARTTTTGAGAAATCTGAAAGAGTCACCCAAGAGCAAACTGTAAGGCACCTGTAAGACTACAGGTTATTGATGCAGTTTTTTCCTTAGGTTCCCTGCTGTGCTATGTTTACTGGAGGGAGCTTTTTTATCAAATAAARAAAGGCAATGACCTCCCTTTTACTTTTCAAAGCTGCCTATATCATAGTGAAAGGAAATGATCAAAGAGAGCAAGACTGTTTAAAATTGAATTATCACATATTTTTGGTTGTCTCATTACAGTTTGAAAGAGAACCTAATTTAATAAAAATGGAAGGGAGAAATAAATGGGATTTTAYCCATTTAAATTACACAAAAAATTCTGAAATGTCCTTCAGAAATTACCGTGTACTGTGAAAAAGACAACTTTAAATTCATAAAGACCAAGAAAAGATCCACCACCTTATACTTGTCATGCTTGTATACTTGACCAAAAGGTCAAGAGAAATACTAATGAATCAGAACAAATCAAAGTTGACRCTATTCAGGCACCCTGTAAATGTTCACAGTCAGAGCCAATTCAAATTGGAGATAGAATTTTCTGTGAACAGTGCAAAAATTTCTGTTATTTCATTGTAAATACCRAATTAACTACTTTGTTCAGTAATTGACTGTTTGTGGTCCTTTTACCAAGGGTTTAATTACCAAAGGTATCTTTGTCCCCCTTCATTCCACGTATTTTTTAGCTTTAATGGAAGGCAGTTGCTCAGAAACAGCCCCTTCTTGTTTGATTTTTGATGGAAGGATTTAGCTTTATGGTCTTGTTTTCATACAGTATTCCAGAGATTGCTATGCAGATTCCCTTCAGCTGTTTTGGAAGGAGTTGTAGAAAAAAAAGCGTCATTTAAAAACATCGTTTTAATTTTACGGTATCTCTGGTCTATGTGTTCAATATGTTACTTTTCAGTAGACAGTGCACACTTTCCTCRTTTCAAAAAGGTGACTTTGTTTTGYAATWTCTAGAAGACAGCTAAYTCAGTGAAGAGTGSTAACARTATTTTGCCAGGGTGTTGATTTAGGATACAGTCATTATGATGATGTTGATGATGTTGATTATTATGGGTAATTCTATATGCTTCATTTACTTCCTTTGAAGAAAATAAACTTGGGCAATAAACTTGTCCTGGTTTCATCTCTGATACAGTTTATTTTCTTCTTAGTAGCTGGCATAGTGCTGTGTTTTGAATTTAGGATGAGAATAACATGGATAACACACTGAAACAAAGTCAAGGACTYCAGTTTCTCATAATGCCCTGCCAGTGAGGAGACTGCTTGGTATGAGCTACCTACTGTGTTAAACTGTGAATGAAGTAGTAGCTAATTTTAGTAAAAATTAAAGAAGTTGATTGAAAACAGTTATGACAAGTTCTGTTATTTAAAGAGATAAACATATGTTTTAGATTTGTAGCAGATCTTATATTTGGAAAAATATATTGGCACTGGAACATATATTGGCACCAGAAACAGGTTGCCCAGAGAACTTATGGATGTCCCATCCTTGGAAATGTGCAAGGCAAGATTGGATAGAGCACTGAGCAACCTGATCTAATGGAAGAAGTCCCTGTCAAAGGCAGGGGAGTTGGAACGAGATATTTGAGGTCTCTTCTAATGTAACCCATTCTATGACTCAATGAAAAAAAATAATTCCTAGTTACTGATTTGCAAAATGTTAAATGTATTAATGATCCTTTCCTTTTTGGTCCCAGTTGTGTACAGTTGAYCAGGAAGAATAACTGGATAGCACTTACTGGAATCGATATTAAAGAAGAATTTTAAATGAGACGTATGACTTTTCTGGTTTGGTACCTACCTCAGTTTTGGGTACAGCTATTTTATAAGGGAAGCACATGATTTATCCAGAACTTTSCTCTGGCATTAAGAATCACTTGGCACAACTGCTGTTGCACAAGTATTTTTTTCCATTTATTCACATATTTGYTTCATTTGTTTATATGCAAATAAATTACTTTCAGAACACGAACTTCAAAGAGAGGTTACCTGGATCAATTTATTAATTGCTGGTGTGCAACTGTAGTTGGCATCTTTCACCTTTAAKAAGAGAAGTTAATCCTGTTGCATTGTCAAGAATAAACAAGATTAGAAACTGTTATTTCTAAGACTGGCTAATCCAACTRGATTMATTCATCAGTCAATTCTGCTGGCTRGGAAGAGAGAGTTTCCTCATAAGCTGTCTGTTTTTGAGTGAATTCGCAATGATTTGAATCGCAGACACATCATTGTGCTGAGTGTTTGAAATGAGATCATTGTAAGTCTCTGTAAGTGTCTAGTAACACTTTTGTTCTGTGCAGACAAAACCAGATTTTCATCCATTATATGTTTTCTGGAGMGCAATCTTAACAAAACAAACTGCCTGCCTTGAAGGAATTCTATATGATTGCTCTCTTTTTATTTAATCATCTGTTTCCATTTACAATATTAATTTTATAAGCTGGTGTAGCAGTATCTCCAGGGAAGCAAGCTGATCTGCTGTTTCTTATAGTTTCAGTATGTTTCATTAATTCTATAGCTTAGGGTTTTTGCTGGCCACTAGTAAGGGCCAGGAAAGATGTTTGTTTCTGTATTTTATTTGGGTTTACATTGCTCTGAAACAGCAAAGACAGATGAAGGGCATAGTTTGTTGTGTTTTATTGTAAGATGCTGATAACTCTTTTGTGACCACAGAGGATACATGAAATAAATGGAATGGAACCTTTTTCATTCACTGTTCATTGGCCAGGGTCTCTGCAGGGAAGGCCTGTTTAAACAGTCACTGCCTCTTAAATGCAGCTTTGAACTGAAAAAAACCCCATTATTTTTCTAATGTGTAAAATATTATCTCTAATATGGTTTTAGTTGAATAGACAAGAAGTAATCTAAGTTGACCTCACGAAAAAAGAAAATTCTGTGCTTAAAATCGTTTGCCAGTGTAAGCCACTGATTACAGGTGTAAGCCACTGCTGAGTGTGCTRTTCTGTGCCCTCTGTTCTGATCTGTCTTTGACCTCTTGGACATGCAAAAAAAAATTAAAGAAGGAGGGAAATGAAATTATTAAAAACTGGATGTGGTAATTTTTCTATCTAGACAAACACAAAACACTGCCACCCTAGAACTATAAAAATGCTTTAGCAACACCTGATCAAGCATCTAATTTTCATAGTCTTTCTTATTTTTGTGGAAGTTATAGAAATGTTCATACTGGGTATGAATGGTTACCCAGTAGCATTCTTTATGCTTGACTTATTTTCAGTTGTACCCTAGTAAAGGAGTGGAAAACCCAGTGAAATACTTCATTGTGAGTACATTTGTAGTTCTTGCAGTCATGGAAAGAACTGCTTATGCTGTGGATTTGTTAGTGTTTCTTATGCTATTAAATATTTTTCCTAATCTAGACAGAATTTAAAATACTCATTTTCTTACTAGCATTTTGCAGAAAGGTGTGACAACATGAGCTTGGTGGAGTTTTTTTAAGTAGGTGAAGTTATAAAGTTCACTGCTAAAGCTGTCAAATGGGCACAGTTTTGGTGCTGAAGAGATCAAGGKAAAAGCACAGTTCCATTTCCTCACCAGCCCCTCTCTGCCAAGGTACTCTTGTGTCCTGGTTTTACTCACTTCGATTTTTGGTGGTGGGGGGATGGGACCAAGAAACCACARAGATGGCTCCTGTGAGGAAGTTCTAGAAGCTTTCTCATTCTCCAGGAAAAGGAGCCCTACCCCTGTGTTTTAGAACCAAACCATTGTGGCTCTGAGGTTGATGGACAGGCTGCTGGTCAGGCCTGGGCCAATTGCACAGGCTAGTTACACCTCTGTGATTACATATGGTTTTGTACTTAAGAAGAATTCAAAACAAGATAGAGGGCAGCCGCCATTTAGTTTTTAGGTTGTTARTATCATGCACTGGGGAAAAACAGAGCAGGAAGGTGAGGAGATGTAAGAAAAAAAATGGAAATCCAAGATCACAGTAAGAAGAAGACAGGTTGCTGTGCCATTGCTGTGGTACTCGAGCATGGAGAAAACAAGCTGTTCTCGAAAGGACTATTTCTTCAGAGACCTGTATAGAAAAGAAAGCGACTGTGCTCTGAGAAAAAAAAAACCTGGCCTTTGAGGACTGGACTGAACYGATTAGAAGCCAAAAAAAGGGGGAAGAGGCTTGGCTCCCCCTCACATCTGAAGTGCGTTGATGCTAAGAAGAAATTATGTTCTGCAGGGAGGAAGAGGGTGGCCCCGCCCCACATCTGAAGCAAGTGGATGCTTAGAAGGAACTGTGTTTCTGCCAGGAGATTTGTGATAGTGGTCTTATGCTGCCGAAATAACGCAGTTCAGCCTTGGAGAACAGTTTTTCCTTTTTCCCACGAGGTAAAGAAAAGAATCCCTTGCCATCAACAGTTATACACTGACTGTTTCTTGGGAAAAGAACTTCCACAGCTTGGAGCTGTAAGAACGCTCCTCCTATGATGCTGGATGATAACCGTAATGAGTAGTCTGATCTATGTTAAACTTTAATCTCTGCCCCCTTTGTGTGCGGGAAGACATGGGGGGGTGGAGAGGGACAACCTGAGACAGAGACAGGTCCCCAGAAAGGTTAACGGGTGTCTTAAAATGTCCGTTTTTATTTTCTTCTTGTAAATTTTTCCCTCTCTTTGTTCTTCTCCCCGGTGCAGTAGTATTCTTAGTAGTTTTTAGTAATAAATCTATTTTGCAACCTAAGTTATTCAGCCTGTCTGACCATTCTCTGGAGCATATACGTATCTTTCTCTCAATTATGTTATGTTATCTGAAAGCCATAAATTTTCGTGTTAATTGGGCTTTTGCTCTCCCTTCTGCCTCTCCAGTGGGGGGGAGGGAACGTCGTGGGTGAGTGCTTTTGGCTTTTGGCCCAGTTCAAACCGTGACACCATGTTTTCCAGAAAAGTACCCCAGTTTCACAGTCGTACTGGTGCTACACATGACTGCAGCAGCTGCTGCCTTGGCTGAGTTGGGTTGAGTAGGTTTGAGCTGAGCARCTTCGCACCTTTTTWAAATATTTATATATATATGCAGGGCTGTTTGGGAATTACAGAAATGGYATCCTGGCAACTGAAGTCTTTGAAAACACTATGTAGTAGACAGGCTGTAAAGAACCTAATGCAGGTTGACACCATTGTTCTAAAAGACATTTTGCTTAGATGAAAAGGGGAAAAGAAACGGGGCAACCAACAACCTGTCAAGGAAAGAGAAGGACATCATGGTACTTTCTTTGTATAATAATTAGTTAGAATGCTGTTAGAATATTTCTCAAGGAAGTCAAGTTTGGAGATTCAGTCTTACCTCCCAGGAGAATATCCCAATGACTGATTTTCAAATTAATGGCAATATCTAAATTGATCACTTTTCTAGGTAAAACTCTTGGTATTCTTTGTTTCTGTTTTAGAAAGTCTGTGCAGAAATTATGTGAAAACATTTGGATAAAGAAGCAAGGGAAATTTTATTTCCTCCTCTTGCATATATATATGTATATAWTTTTTTTTAAAAGCCAGTGGAATTACATCTTGACTTGAGAATAGGCATTACTCAGAAACAGTATGTAAAAGTCTTTAGGGTTCTTTTTCCTGAAATTGTTTAGGATGAATTCTTAGCCTTCCTAGAAGAAAACACTTTCAAACAAAACTGTTGAATAGGTAAAAACTATATTACTAAATACATAGTTACATATCTAGAAACACTGATTTGTATTTACACATAACAGTACTCAGGCTACATCAGAAGTTTAAAGTCATGCTCTTATATGCTGTCTGAGCCAAGAGGGAGAGAGTCATTGGCTTAAGCTTACACTGACAAGGTTGTTTTTCAGAATACCTTCCTTCCACAGGTTCATAATTTTTCTAATTGGAAAGGAATAGCTAAGATAGGTTATATGGTTTGGGACTAGGGAGGAGCTGGTAAAGGAATGCTCTGGTCACAAACTTGAATATAAATATCTACAAATGGATAAGGTGATGGTAACCTACAGTAACCAGTCCTCAGCCCTGTGAATATTTTAATGTATCTGCATCATTAAGCTCTTCTACAAAAGTGCTAAAAAGTACTATTTTTTTTTGAATGTCATTATTTTAAAATATTTTAAATTATGTTCTGCTATTGTTCTGAACCATATTCTAAACATTTATATGGTCTTTGCTGGAAACAGAGTAGAGAAAATGCATTTACATGACCATTTTTTATCTTCACTAGGAAACCCGCTTGGATGACCATCATCATGTTGCAGTGGCGCTTGGGAAACAAGAGGGATTTGTGCAGAAGGATTCTGATGTAAGAAATAGTTTCACTTCTTGATGTAGCTGTAGCTAAAAGCATGTTATCTCATGTACAGGGCCAAGGAGAAGGCTTACTTTCAGCACAGTATTAACCAGAACCAAGCAGTATCACTGAACTGTTTCCTCTATTTCTGTTGTGCCTGTTTCAGCAAAGGTCTGGGAAGGAGAAATAGTTTCAGAGGACAACACCAGATAATGTCAAGTCTGTAATGCCTGTATTGCAGTGTTCAGCGTGTTCATTCAAGAGAAGATTAAGTGATTTTTTGTCASAGCCTGCTGGAATTCATGTGGGAAAGATGGTTTTCACAGAGGGAGATGGAAGCAGTGAACCAATCTGGACTGCTAAACTTGTATGACACCTCACCAAGTTGATTTTAATGGGGGACTGTCAGTGCATGTATCCCAGAGCAGATCCATCGTTCAAACACCATTATGACAAGATAACCCTTGAGACAAGCAGCAACAACCAACAGATGGGAAGAACAGCAGTGTTAGTCTTCATTCCATGTGGTGTCTCCATTGAGAGAAAGAGCAAAGCTACTTAAAAGCTTTTCAGGATTTTCTGTGTAATTTAAAAAAAAAAACCTCAGTCGTGAAAATAGCAATAAAAGTCAAATTTAAGGGAGAGGCAGACTGGAAAGTTGTAGCCAAAACAGCCAGACCATCAGCAGATTGCCAGATTTTTCTCTGGTGTTCTAGTTGCTCACAAGAAAATGGGTTAGTTGTTTTCTGTTATTTAGATGCAAAAATTCTACCAGGAACTAGAAAAAAATTAGTATAGCAATGGATAAAAGTATGAAAGTGGTAATGCACACTGTCTATCATGGTAGTAAAGTCTATGATCATGCATAACAAAGAGAGGCAGACTTTTTAACTAGTATTGGTTAGATTTAAARAAAAAAAAAAAGAGGTGTAAACTGCCTCTGAGTATTTACTGTGATAAATCAGTTCACAAATACTTTTTAAGAAATTATGTGCATTCTGTTTCACAGGACACATGTAAGTTCCCAGTGGGATTGCATGTTATCCTTCTGATAACTGTAAGTCTGAAGTGAAAAGAAGGTGGCCATTATTTCAAAAGACAATTACCTAAGTAGTCTGCAGAAATCCAGGATTTTTAAGTATTGACCTTCACCATCATGTCACATACATTAAACTTACCATACAAAAAACAGTCATGGTATCACAGGTTATGATGAAAAGTCTTTGAATCAAGAGGAGTCACGAAGGCTTACTTGTCCATTGACTAAATTTGTGGTGACTTAAATTTCATTATCTCAATTCACTGAAATAAGGTCATTTTAAGCAGGATAAGAGAGCATTCTGGGACTCCACAATAAGGAAATTAAGTGAAAATTTATGTATTATTGTGCTGTGCGTTTTTAGGCCTCCTTCTAAAAGGAATGTGAAGAAAATGAAAGTTGCCTTCTCTCTTTGTAAAAGAACCATTACAAGGATTCTATTTATTACTAGACATGTTGAAAGAAAAAGTTGTCCATTCTAGCTTAAAGYGTATGTAAATGTTAGCCATTTGTTTCATGATGTCAGTGTTTGTTCCCTCTGCAATCACAGGAGTAATTCATTATGGCCTGCTTGCAAAACATTTGCTTTCAGCTTTCTTGAATGATAACATGTACCTACAGTTTCCAGGAAAGATCAATTGTTATGTCAATGCACTATAGTTAAAAACCTCTAGTGTCAAGGGTCTTAACAAAATGCTAGTGATTGCTATATGCTTGGAGAAACAGAGCATTTGTCTGTGCTCCTAACGTAGATCTAGACATTTATCTGAGGCAAGTTTCAATAAAAGATGGCTGAGTTTAAAATGATTTATAAATCTGTGTAGGATAGAAAGTATCTTCTGTCTATCACTTGCTGAATTTCACAAGAGTTGTGATGAATTCAATCAGGACACTTCTTCACACAAGCACGCGCTGAAGTTCAAAGTACGTACGTTGACAGCTGCTTAGCTCGGAGGCTTAGWTCATGTTTGGTATCATCTGTGATGTCACTTGCATGGCTCTTGGCACCATTGCTAGAGCTTTTCCTCATCTCCAAAATGTCAGATGAACAGGAATGTGTCGACACCATGTCACTTGTGTAAGGACATAAAGTGGCAGACARCTCAGTCACTTTTGCTTTCAGTCTGCCTTGGCAACTAAGAGTTTTTCTGTGTTGTTACAAGCACAAACCATTTTGTTGTCACTGCATTTATTTGTAACAGTACTGCTCAGATACTGAGTGAGAATAAATGTTCTTTGCTTTTTGCCTGTTTRCTGATCTACCTTCATCTATGTGATGCGAAGGAATAACAAAATCCTCAAAATKGTCTTTGGACTGAGTCACCTCAAGCAGTCAGATGTAAGCAAGACAGGGTCTRTAAGGTCTAATTATGAATCAATTCTCAAAACCTTCTCCAGGAGAAGGCTTGGGTGCCTTTGAAGTGCCTGCACACCATTGCAGACTGGGGTGTCAACATGATGTGTCAGAGATCGGTGTGCAGCTGCAGGGCTCCGAGAGCACGAGATGCAGGAGTTCAGGATCCTGAGGATGGCGAGGAGGGCTCACAACCCTGAACTTGAGGAGAGCACACTTTGTCCTCATGTGGATTTAACAAGGGGAATTGTGGGTTGATTGTGACCACTTTGGTTTTTAAGTAGCATTTGAGTTGGAGAGAAGCAAGCAAAACTTCAGTGACTACTGATATTAAAGAGTGTGAATAGGCACACCTCTAGTGGAAAAACTCCTCACACAATTGTCTCAAATAATCATATCTGCTGCAGAATGTAGTGCAGTTGTTTTGATGCTGGTATTTTTTACTGGATTTTCTGGACTATAACAGTCAATTGTCATAATTGCAACATTCTATAGCCCTTGTTCCATCAGTTTTGTGAACTGTTTCAAAGAAAAACTTGATTCTTCTGCATGACCTATTGCATGCTTCTCATAGTTCCTGCATAGCACAAATTAGAGGCAGTGACATTAGTTTCAAATGTAGAATATTTTGTTTCTTCTTCAGCAAGCAATGTGTAGTTTAAACAGGACAGAATTTTACAGAAAGAAAATTGTTATTTATTTATTTATTAATGTTATGCTAATATGTGTTTTCTGTAGGCACATTCCATGGAGCCTAACCAACCACAATTTGCATTATTGACTTTCGAAGATTTAGTTGTATCTGGTATTCCAGTCACAGCTGAGGATTCTTCGTATTGGGACAATTTTTGTTCAAAGCAGGAGAGCCCAGTGAAACAGAGTTCACATTCAAGATAAGACTGTGTATAAGAAAAAGAAAATTGTCAATTTTTTATGCTGTGATTCTATTTAATTTGATGTATGGGAATAAGTGCACATATGTAAATGAAACGTATCTTTCCTTATTTAAGCTGACAAGCTGCCTTGCATGATGCTTCATCAAAATTGTAAGGAAGATGTGTTTCCTTACTGAAGTAATTTTGAATGAAAAGCCTAAGCCATCCACATGATTTTTTGTATCTCCTTGCCTGTTGTCCTTAGACTTCAGTAAGTATCCATGCTAGGAACACAAAGCAATTGTACAGTACTGTTGTTTATTAGTCAATAAGTGTTTAATATATAAAAATGTGTACAATTGGTACAAATTTTTATGCTCTTACTGTGTGGTGCAGGGTTTTGCTCAATATTTGGTGTTTGTGTAATGCGAGGCTGAAAAAGTCTGTCTCTTAGTAGTCTTGGAGCTACATCTGTGCAAAACTGTTTGAGACAGGGAATTAACTTACTTAATTTTTCACTTCTAATCTTTACTAATTAAAGCTGCCTGTATGAATTTTAGTATTTGTTTTTTAGCAATTCTGTTTTGTATGTTTTCCCTCAGCAATAGATACAAGCCAAGCAGCAGTTCCATTTTCCTAGGCTTGCATTCACCTCTGCGCTATACTAGACATTAAATCATGGGAGGAAACCCAAACAAAAAAACTTATTTAATTTTTTCCAAATAATSTCATAACTCCTGATGACAGGCTTTTTTACTATTTTAACAGCAAATGAAAGTCTCTGGAGATCTTGAGTGCACATCTAGAATATTTTGTCTTCATTTTCAAAACAAATTGTGTTTTGTGCCGTTACCTCTCACTCTTCTTTCAAGAAGTCATAGATACAATCTGGTCCATCTAAATTTAAGAAAACACACTGAACAGAATGATTTTTCAAAAAAGTATTAATTTCTGTCCTACAGTTAAACATACATCTCCACTGAATTTGTACCCAGTATTCTGGTGTACATCATGTAAAGAAGAATCTACTTGTAGGGTAACCATTGAATCCATGCCTTATTACAAAGATGAAGTTTGAGAACATGAGTTTTCAGTTATTGTACAAGCTTTTGAAGTTGTGCTGTAGATAATTCTGAATTCAGATATGCTGTTAAACTCTCCTCCTGACAGCGCTGCTTAATACTTTTATTTTCATTTCAATGACACTCTCATCCTGWGTGCTAATCATAATTTTTGGTGTTTTGTTTTTTTTCTTTTCCCGCTCCAAAATTACAAATCAGTGAAGCAATGACTTCCCTCGAGACTCCACAGGGGCTAAATTAGGTGCTCAGTATATTTTATATAGGAATTCCAGATTATTTGTATTTTATAAAAATTAAATTGCAATAAATAATTTGCAATCCACAGAGATCCAGTACATGCCAGTCAGTCCCTGGACCCATCAATTGCATCTTTGTCTGGCAGTTTGAAGTTGTCAGCTTTGCTAGGACATTGACTCAAACTATCAATAAAGGGTCAGCTGAAAACAGAAGTTTCAGATCTAGATTTCTGGTGTTAAGAGAATTAATTTTATATTAGAGATCAGTTATTTCTGCATGGAAGCAGTGTCCCAAACCAGAAATTTTCTTTCATTGGGAAAGAGTTTTAAAAGTATTAATGAAATTATTTRTAGTATTGTGCTTGCATGTAAGTAGAGGACAAGCCAATTTTGTTAAATTATAAAATTGCGCTTGGTTTTCGTGCTAGGAATATRATATAGTTTTCAAGACTATATCTAATTAGAAAGACCTAGAACAGCTTGTTTTGGTTAGTTTTCAATGACTTAAAGTTATAGTTTGGAGTGGTTCATACAGAATTGTCTAGAAGACTGGAGTTTCCCATGTTCTGATTTTTTCCATGTCTTTTAGTTTAYACTGTACTGTTTGAAAAGTAAGATTAATGTCCTTTTAATCTTAATAGCAATAAGGTTAGGTGATGGTAATGCCTTGTGAAGAGCCACTTGAATCAGGTTGTGTCATGTCAGTGCAAATGGGCAGAATTGTTACACTTGCTTTTAYCGCAGTGGGAAAGAGCAGCTGGGTGGTTATAGAATTTTCAGCTAAAAGCATGCTGCTAAAAGGGCAGCAGGACGTTCTGACTCCTTTTGAATATGAATGATCCTTCCTAAAGTTGAAAGAAAGTTTTTCTGAGCATCTGTGGTGGGGAGACACATATTAAAATAAGTGTTGATAGTGTGTACAAATAATGTAATCTCACAGTTCTAGGTGTGTTTGTTTTACCATCACACTTTTCTCTAATATAAAGATAATTGAGCCCTGTATCCACACATGGCCATAACATTGACCTACCTGCATTTTCTCAGAATGCAGTCCTAATGGCCACGGAGTTGCTCTGCCAGTTTAGAAATACTTGTCCAGCATAGCTCCACCTTTCCTCACTGGTTCAAGTCATCAGCCCAGTCCAGTGCAGGTGTCTGTCTCATCATTCTTCTGCACTGTCTGTCCCAGTTACATCTAGAAATCTTTAGTTTCCTTCTCCAGAGCTCTATTCCTTCATCTGTTTTGACTTCTAGGTACTGTCCTTGACATGACCATACCACACMCTGGAAGGGTAAGAAGCTGCAAAAACACAGGTTTTGCTCCACATGAGCCTTTCCCAGGTGTAGCTGAAGCTGGGTAGACCTTTTCCCAATGGAACAGGATTGGCCAGCTTCTCAAATTCTCAGATTTAGGTCTTAGATCWGATCTGCTAGCCTAGGTAGCATATCAACACAACGTTTCTGAGAAGTGCTTAATAATAGTCTCTGACCCAAAAGTAACTTCTAAAAGCTTTAGTCTTCAGTAAAAGARCTGTCAAAAGTGAATAGATGTGTTTTTATTTGGACTTGTCAAAACTTTTTGGATCCAAAATGCTGAAGTGGATTAGGAACTTCAGGAGGTAAAACTGTGTTCAAGACAATTTGCACTTGTATGATGAAAGACTGATGCCATTTGAAGTAAGAATCTGTAACTTTGAAAAGTGGATCATGTGGATTCGCTCAGCCTTTTACAAAGTCTGTAAATTTAACACGAGATGTATGTTGTTACTATCAAGTCCACTGATGTTAATCAAATGTGCTCCAGCAAGAAATCAAAGCTGTAGCAACAGRCGTAGTGTAGATACAGTTGGTCTGTGTGTGCACCTGGAAACATCCAGGCAATGGCTCAACTTCAAACAACCACCCTTACCCAAGATACTGCAATAAAGCAATGATCTGCAAAGAAGATGAGAAGGATGGTTGTACAAGTCAGCATAGACTACCCTTTGTTGGAGCTTTTCCAGATTCTAGTGCTGCACTCTACAAAACAATAAGTGGTTATTGGGCCGAATTGATACAAGTGTGTCTAAAACTGCAATTGAGACTCTCAGCCTCAACTGCTGACTGATTCTGCAGATGTCTGAACTTCCTAATATGGTGCTTCATTATTCTCCAGAATACAGATTGTTTTGACTATTTCACTCTCTGTAGAAAGTCATAAGCATGGAAATAAATTCTGCATTTTTAAGAGAGRCAACATTTGAAAAGTRTTTTGTTTTTTTCAAWAAGTCACTGTTTGTAATAYRTYATTTTCTTGTGTTATACATGCAGTTTGTTATGGCCATACACTATTTACGAATCCAGTTTCTTCTAAGATTGAGTATAATTTCTTCACTGAAATAAAAAGATTATTTTGCATTTCTGTTGTCTACTTGAGGTTATTTTTTTTTAAATCTTGCTATTTCTTAGATCCAGACATAGGTGAGATTACTGAAACACTTTTCTAGCACTTCTTTGCGGTTTTGGAAACAATTTATGAAACCATGAAACTGCACATTCTTGAAGATGTCCTTTGTATGAGTCATGAAACAAAGGTCTGGTCCAGCTCTCCTCTATTTGTTTCTTCTACAATTGTAATATTATGATGTGCAACCCAATTTCTGACAAATATGGAATAATGTTTGTGTATTCTGTGCTGGAGTGTCGACATTTGGCCAGACTTGGGATAGTGTGAAGTTCAATGCTCTTAGGAAGATGCACATTTTCAAATACAAGACTACAGTGCTGCCTAATGTTGCTTACAGATGTAAGGAAATTCCTGAAGACCTGTTTTTTAATTAGGACATAAACACAGAAGTTCTTTAGGTTGTTTTAAGAGGTTCTTCACACAGAAAAAGCACTTTTACTTTCACAAGACTTCTCTTTAAAACACTTAAAAACGGTTTTTGATTTAAAAGTGATGTAAACAGTAAGAAAACAAATATTTCAGTTGAAATGCACTTTTGTTCTCCAATACCTACAGTAATTAAAAGGTTTGCCAGGGTCCTTGTCAGGCATGTCGTAGGGATTTAGGAGTCCCTATTGACATCTGGAGCAGGCTTGGGGTAGGAGCACCAAGGTTCCCAGCATAACCAAGGTGCAATGCCAGAACTTGGAAGGACTTAGGGAGTTTTGGTAAATGGTAAGGCTATACTTATGAATGGCAAAGCTTACTTAGGCATTTAAGTCTAGTCAGATATTCCACAAGAGTGCTGAGATTTTAATTGCAAACTTGCCCCTTTTTTTGGTTAAAACACCTGAATAAGCTGGTGCATCATTTCCATCCTGTTTCTGTCTGTGTTTCCATCCTGTTGTGCTTTGTGCTGTGCCCTTGGTACCACAGGATCTCTGTCACATCTGAGGTATTTCTGCTGCAACAACTTTCAGCAGGGCTAGATCCCTGAATGCTGTCAATTCCTGATGGCAGGTTGTCCTTGAGCTGAGAAGAAAACGTTTTGGTACCATTACCAAACTAGTAAATTAATGGAAAAGATGAGTAAAGAAATTGCATGTTAAGACTTCATTGCTGTACTGCAAATAATGAGAAGTAAATGTAAAAGAAAAGGTGTACTAATGCTAGCTTTTAACTCACGGACAGAAGTTCTCAGTTTTGCTTTGTTCTAAGATCTCAAAGCAGCTGAACTTACTTCAATCCTTTTGTTTGGGTTTCTGGGATTTTTTCCCTCAAGGTTTAATAGTAGCATCTGTATTACAATTTCAAAGTCCTAGTTAAGGTTTTCCAACTGAGAGTTTCACTTGTCCCTGTAGCTTAATGTTTCCAGCCTTGGCTCAGTGTTCTAAAAAATTGCCTTCCTTTAATCTTGAAATAGGCTGAAATTCACCCAAGTAGCCAGTCRCTTCCATTTAATCCATGGGAATCTTTGACCAGAGACAGAAATCAGGGGCTTGGCCTGCCCAGCATCACCCAGCCTGGTGCTGGGCAGCAGTCACTCAGCTGTTCGGTGTGACACCGGTTTGCCCAGAGGAGGGGAGTGGCTCTAAAGCTGCCTCCTGATTTCTTGAATTGTCTCACTCAGATGAGTGACATCTTGATGTCACTGAATATTAAACTCTCAACTGCATGACTGTTTTGATTTTTTCCCCCCCTAGTGTTGGAGCTAAACTTTCTGCCCTGTGAATTTGCTTCCTGCAATTTTCACCAATGTTTGCAGTTTTTGCCTTTATACCAATATACTGCTGGGTTTGGCTTTAAGGCATCACAGATAGCAATCTTAATAACTGGTGCAGAAGGGAWGTGCAATAAGACTAGCAAAATATAAGTAATCTTCGTAAACATGATTACAGATTTTGTATGGATCATTGCACAGCATGTGTAGCAAGCTGTATATGTAATTTTAACAATATTATATAATAATTTAATAAATGTATCYTGTATTTATAAATGTAGAATTCTATATATACACACATACTGCTTTACAGCATCTTATCTTTC